TAACAAGATAATTTGGTTTTATCAAATGAGTTGATAATGTGAATTGGCCACCGTAGAGAGATTACTAAGACGTTTACAGCGGTAGCCATTTGTCAGAGCGAAGATAGGAAGGGCTAACACTCAAAACGTCAGCTTTATAATTTCACTACAACTCAGTTGATAAAACCAAATTATAGATGTTTTGTTGGCTCCACCTCATTTAAGAATAAACTTACTGACAAAATATAAATAACAAAAACATACATAAATAAATAATAAATAAATAAATAACAAAATCACACTCTGATCCGTCAGGACATCATCAAAAATTCATAAATATGACCCTGCTCAGATCTCAAGGCCTGCGATATTTCAAAAAAGGCCTCTGTATCTTCCTGGCAAATTGGATGACGTAAAATTGTTTGAAACAGTCTGTGCACAAACCTTAACGATTTCTTCACCACTGACTTTCATCACAGTAATCAGAATATCTTTTAATTTTCCAACCATGGAATTCCACTTAAGCAGTCCAAGAAGATCAACTAGCACACGAAAAAGATGAATCTCATTACAACATGAGCAAATAACAAACAAACAAACACCAAAAAATTTGTTGCCTGTCACAATTAAAACTGGTGACTTTCACAACCTAACAAGTGTTCCTCTCAGACATGAGTGGCTTTCAATTGAGTGTCGAAAGTAAACCGGGAGTGCATTGGCTATGCTTCACCACGGTGTTTGATTGGTCTAGAAAAATCGCATCACACTCTCAACCAATCAGGAGCAAAACTGAAACTAACCGCGACTGGAGTAGCCTTTTATTCCCGCGCTTAATGAAGTTTGCTTTTTTCCACTTTAAGAATTCGAAAATTCATGATTAACTACATATCATCAGATGAATTTCTAACTCACCGTTTTGGGTCAATTTGGTTGAACAAAGAAGAGTTTCAATTTTCAGTTTGTCATTTGTCGCTGTGAATGGCATATTACTGGTTTTCACAGGAAGAACATCATCTCTCTTGGAAGGTAGATGGAGATACTGCTTAGGATGAGGTACCTTTCCATGATCATTCTGTACAAAAAAACACGCAATAAGAGATTTTGAGCGAAGGTTTTCTCTCCCAGTAGCCTGAACAACAAGCACAATGTATGTTGTTCAGGCGAGCGAAGGTTCGCAAGGCGCAAAAAACACCTCCTCCTCTCGCACGTGTCTCGCACTTCGCGTTTGCCTTGCACTCGCTTTGCGTTTACCTCGCACATGCCTCCGCTCCCCCTGCAAAACGCTAAAAATGCAGGCTAATTGCTACC